TATGTGGAGGAGGAGAGGGTCCATGGCAAAAATAACCAATCTAAAAATGGCTCCTGTGTAATCGAATGAGCCAGTTACACACTTGAACCTATTCACCTTGGAATAGGACAGGGGATAGATCGGGGAATGATGATGCAACAAGGCAAGTATCCCAGTCCAGGGTTTGATCTTTTTTTTTTTTTTTTGAGAGTGTGAGAAGGTGGGGAGAGGGAGAGAGAGAATCTTAAGCAGCCTTCTGACAGGGGCTCGATCTCTTGAACCTGATATCATGACCTGAGCCAAAACCAAGAGTCAGACACTTAACTGACTGAGCCACCCAGGCACCCCAGGGTTTGATCTTTTGAATGGAGTAGTAGGGTCAAAAGTATTTAAAGGAAGGATGGTTAAAGTTCTAGTAGAGAAGTGCAAGCAATGCTTTGGAACAGCTGAAAAAGATTGATAAAGAGGCTGAGAGTATGTACAAGCAAAGATTACAAGAGAGGACTATGACTAATGCCTGAGTAAGATTAAGGAATGGGGCAAATATGGCTGAAATTTTTGCACAGTGGGGTGCAGTGCGCTCTCAACCCAGCTTTCACTAGCTTTTTGGTGCCTGTGAAATGAGGTTGGATCACATAATCTCGAGGGTTTTATTTGGGTACAGCAGGCTGTGAAATTTCAAATCTGTACTATGGGACTGGGAGTGGGGGAAAAGAGGTTGTGATCCTTGAAAATTCTAGGTGGTTAAAATAAAAAAAAAATCGAGAATTGAAACTTATCAGAGTATAACTGCTTCCTTATGGAGCCATTTGTGGCTAATGGAAGCAAAAGTGGGCAATGGGACACTTTCCCAGAATCTCTGCTCTCAGTGAATATTGCATGGAGTATTGGCATTTAAAAATGAACTTACCAGGGAATGGGAGGGGACAAAACCACAAATACAATGGATGGATGGTTAAGTGTCCAAAATCGGGATATTCAACCTGGACTTAATTTCTCTAAAGATCATTGTGAAATAGTATCCTTTATCACTTTTTGTGCATGGTTTAAGAAAATCTCGAGTCTGTCTGTTATGGCTATGAAATATATTTCGAGGCTTTAGTCTCCTAGTGTTCATAGGGATGAAAACACATTTAAACATTTGCTCAAGAAAAACAAAACTGACATGTTCAAATAATGTTAAAATTGCTTCAAAAGACAATATATTAATTTTGAGTTATTTGAACTATCTTGGCCTCTGACGTCCATACAAGTAGATAATTGAGAGTCCACTGTACATATTTCAAAAATGCAAGTATTGCTGAAAGTTTGTTTTATTTGGGTTATAATTTTGGGAGAGGAAAATCGTATCATACATTTTACATTTAATCCCATTTACATTTTACATTTTACATTTAATCCCGTTTTATACATTTTCCTGTTTCATCCCAACAGTTGTGTAGTTGGGGAAAGAAACTTTATTTAGAGAAGTTAAAACTTGTCCAATTCTTACTGTTAGTAAGAGAGATCGCCCTCTGGGTATCTGTAATCTAGTGGAGTAGGCAGGTACCAAACCTGAAACAGGTACCGTCATAGACCTCTATTAGTCCTTTGTGGCTCCTTGAGGAAGCCCTGGGAAGGGCTTTAAGGATGAATAGAACTTTGACAGGTAAATACTGGGCTGTGAGACGGGGAAGAGGCAGAAGAGAAATTCAGAATAGAGGAGAAAAGTTTCACAGAGGCATGATGACCAGAATACCTGCTGTGGCCAGGGAACAGTAAGTGTTGCTCTAATTGGTGGGGGGATAGGATGGTTTGAGGTGTCAGCACCTGTGACAGACTTGAAGACAAGATGAGCTGTTGCCAGGTGAACTGGGGAGACCTCTGAGCCCTGTGGCTCTCTCCCAGCCTGTCCCCCAGACATCACCTGAGGCTCTTGGTTTCATCACAAGAATTCAAGGACGGACGAGACAGTGGTTGAGCAGTGCAAGTGAAGAGTTTCTTAGAGATGAGTACACTCTTGAGATTGAGATGAGATGTGAGTGGGCCAGCTGAAGGGAGAGCTTGCCCTGGGTTTCGGGTCTCTATCTTGTATTGACAGTTGTTAACTAAGGGGTGGAATATTTATTACTTGGGGAGGGGATTTCTTTGGGAGCAGGATTTCATGCCTTTTCTCCCTTACTTGGTCAGGGTCTCAGTCCCTCTTTGTCTTGGGCCTGTCTGGTTTGATGTGGCTTCTTGTGGCTTTGTTAGTGAAATGCTGCCAGGACAGGTTGCTAACTTTCCTGATAACGCCTCGACTCCCCCTTTGCTGGCCTCCAGGCAACCTGTTAAAACCTAACTAACTGCCTACTCTAACAATATAACTGTAGCAGGCAACAAGGAACCCGCAGGGGATTTAGACCAGGGGAATAGCTGGAACAGGACTGTGTTTTAAGAATTCTTCCAGTAGTCTTCCACTAATGTATGGCAGTCTGGGCAGAGGGAAGAGGCAGGAAGGCTGGTGGAGGCTGTTTTGGTAATGCTGGCAGAACCTGAAGAGGACCTGCCCTGGGCTCTGCCAAAGGAAAGGGAGAATTTTGCATCTCACCCCAAATGTTCTCTTAGAAGCTCTCTTCTGCACTTATTCCTTGGAAAACAAGTAGAATACCCTGACTGCTTGATTTGAAAAAGCTTTTTGCTTGTAGTTTATCTTTTATCTGGCAAGTAAAAGGGAGCTCTTTTTGTGTCCTTTTTACTCAGGTTCTGGGTCATAACAAAGTGGAATGCTAGTGATCAGTAAGGGATCTGGAAAGGATGGGATCAATAGAATTTGATTGGATGGGGAAACTTAATGATGACTCCCAAATTTTAAGCCTGAATGCCTAGGAAAATGGTGGTCTCCCTGTGGGAAATAAGACCGTGATTTGAGAAGAAAGACAGTATGCCAAATGGGCTCAGTTGGAAGTTACAATAGCCTTTTCATGCAGAAATACCCAGAAGCTGTTGAAAGGCCAGAGCTGGTATTCATTAAAAAAATAAATAAATAAAATAGGGGCTGGAGATAATACAGTCGGCTGTTGTCTGCATGAAGATAAAGCTGTGTGTGGTGGGTGCCTGTATGGAGGGATAGCATGGTGGCAAAGGGATAAGATGAGCGGGGGGTAAACTTTGAGGAAATAAAGCAAGAGAAGGGAACCCATCTAGAAGAGAGAGAGAGAAAGAGAGGACAGGAGGTGAGAGAAGTGGAGCAGGCAGAGCTCCAGAGGTAAAGGGAGGAAATGTGAAGTGTGGTAAATGCAGCAGCTGATGGAGGAGGGGGAGGAGGATGGAGTCGCAGGGGCTGTGTCTGGTGATAAAGGGTCACTTCCTCTGGGCAGTCTTTCTGCCCCACTCCAGGCCATCTAGGACTGTCTTCCTCTCGTGACTTGGCCTGATCATCGGTGACAGGTTAGCCACCAATGTTTGCTTGTGTATCCGTTTCCCTGTTAGATCAAATGCCCGCAGAAAGCAAGTAGAGTTGTCTACACCGTGAGTATAGGATGAGGACTCAGGAAATTAAGGCAGCTCCCTGAGAGGGCAGTTTCAGGGACGCGTTGAGAAGGACAGTCAAAGTGTAGGGTGTGATGAAACAGGAAGATGATAAGAAATGAAAGAAGCATCAGACAGGCAGGAGAAAAAGAGGGAGAGAGAGAGACCACCAAGAGAAGCAGAAAGAATAAAATGTTTAATTCTAGGGTAAGAGAGATTTGAACATGTTCCTACACTGTGATGCAGGCCCGTGAAAGGAGAGGTTGAGGGTGCAAGAAGAGGCACTGGTAATGACACATGGAGTGATTCTGAGAGGGACTGGTGGGTGCAGGGGAGGGTAGAAGCTCTGGCCGGGGGGGGCAGGAGTGGGTGAAAGCACTGAGAAATGCAGACCTGAGGGATGGGCACTGCGGTGGGAGGTCATACTGGACACTGCTAGGGAGGATCCTATGGCCTAATGAAAACACTGCAACCTTGAAGTTTTTTTTTTTTTTTT